TGGAAGTGGTACTGTGGCTCAAGTGGTAGAGTGCTCTCTGAGCTGAAGAGCTGAGGGACAGCACCCAGGCCCAGAGTTCAAGCCCCATGACAGACAAAAAAAAAAAAAAAAAGGAGAGAAGCGTACTTGTAAATGTGAGCTTTAGTAAGTCAACTCCAAATTTATGCTCAATAATTTGATATAACGGAGAAAGCAAAGGACTAGAGTCTGGTGGACTGAGTTACAATGCTCACTTCTAGGTAAACTTCCGTCTGACTGACTGGGCTTCCCATGGCCTCTTCCAGACTTTTTTCCACACAGTCCTAGGGATGGCTGCCTATACAGCCTGGAGAAACTGTGGAACCTCAGGGAAAATATCAGTCAGGCCCAGTCCACAGAACTGCCGTGAGTATCTCAGGGACGTGAGAGAGGCTGACTCTGGGTGTCCTCAGCCATCGGCTGCTCTGAGAACACTGACAGAACACAGCAAAGAGCCGAGAGGACAGCATGGCTCAATTCGAAATAGCTACTACTATTTTCTAAATCACATCCAAATACCAATTGGATATGCCAAAGGAAACTGACGGCCATTTACACACTGACCTAACACAGGTGCTCGCAGACACCTGGCCCAGCTCAGCAGCATCGGATTTCTCACAAGTGAAAGCTTCTGGAGCTTGTGAGAAACGCCAGTCCCCAGACCCCCACCCCAGATCCCATAGATCTGAGGCCCCTGAAGTGGAGACCAGCAATCGATTCTGACGCCTCCAAGTGACTTGATTCCATGTGAAGACTAAGAACAGGTATAAATCTAACATCTTAAACAAAAAAACTTTAATTTTTAATTTTTAAGAACCAAAATCACTGTGTTCTACTTTAGTAAGCAGTTGCTTCAGTAGCGATTTGTGAAATCAGTCATTTAAAAATCTCCTCCTCACCTGTGGCTCTGATTTACTATCACTGCTCAGTGGCCAATCAGTGATCAAGAACATGGAACAAACACTTTTTTTCTGTTCTCTCAAAAAGCACTGTGTACTCAGCTCGGGCATCTCCATTTCCTTCCAGCACCAGATCAGAAAAAAAAGAATAGCATGATTGATTCTGTGGAGCCAGGAAGTCCTTGGCGCTGCTGTGTGTCCAGGGCATCCTGGCACGGTCATTTGAGCCCTCATTTGAGTCACCATGCAAGAGAGAAAGCGAGCCACTGGTGTGCCAGGCAGAACCCAGCTGGGCTCTAGCCAGCGGGTGTGGCCCAGGGCTGGGGTCCTGACGCCCTCCTCTCCACGTGCACCATTGCGTCAATTATAACTCAAAACAAAGGAAAATCAGGCAAAACTAAGGTGACACTACAGGTGTCGTGGAATTCATCTATCACATGGTGAGAACATATTTAATGTGACACAGGAATGTTCTTTCTACTGTAGCTTCCGTGGGGCGGGTCCTTTGTACACTGCATGTAGAGGCATCACCTAGGAACTACTTGTCTTCTTGAAGACAGTCATGCCCCTAGCCCCACTTCTGGTCCCAATAAGCAATTCAAAGGAACCCCTTCATCTTTGGCAACTGTTAAGCACCTGTTCTCCCTCAGTGGCATTTAAATCTTAGGTGTGTAGTCCTTGTACCACAGGCAGCAAGACAGAATTACCTGTGACCATTACAAACAGGTAGTTCACAAAGAAGGAGCCCCTTGTGTCACAGACAGGATGGACGTAAATGCGCCTGTGGTAAGAGAATGTCAGCAACTTATACACAGAATGGTTCTCCAGTAAAATCTAGCCAAACGCCGCCAGTGTATTTCCAACAGTGATCGGCTCACTGGAATGACAGCATCACAGCTTAGACTCTGCTAAAGAGTAACATGGGTGTGTTCTTGCCACCAATAGCTAACCTAGAAAGGGGACTGCATGCCAAATAATCCACTCTATTCAGTGCAAAGACAGAGAAGGCGGACACCAGCGTGTTAACCAGATTTGACTCTCACAAGTTCTCTAAAGGATGAATCAAAAGGAAAACACTGTTGCCAGAGCAATGAGTTTAAGGGTAGGCTGAGTCATCAAACAAGGCAAACACAGACACTTAAGATTTAAGACATCTGGAAGAAAGCCAGTGGCATCTGCTCCCTAAGGAATGCAAATTTTAATTAACCAGTCTATTTACTTTAAATAAAGCTGTACTAAACACTTCTTGAAGAAAACATCGCCTCCTGAAATCCTTCACCTAACATTTCAGAAGCAAATGTCTGTACTCTAGAATCCCCACTGGCCGTGGACTGAGTCTTAGTTCAGTCACAGAAACCTGAATGGCAGGGATTCACAGCAAACTGCCAGAACAATGAGGAGGAGAAGAGTGAAAATGGTTCCCCCTGGAACCACAGGGGGACTGCGGCAGGTCAGTGTGTGACGCAGCCATACTGGACGAGAGCGTTGTGACTTTCAGACAACTCAACCAAAAAGAAGAGACAGACAGAGCACTGGGGGCTGAGCCAGATGGAAGAGGCCCCACCAGGGGGATTCTGGTAAAGCGAACACTGAGGACTGGAAGCCACCAACCGGCTAGGACAATGGAGAATTGGAGGGAAAGAGTGACAAAGTGCTCAGACCCCAAATCAGCCCCGAAGGCCTGAGCAGGGAGACAGGGAAGGGACAGAATAAGCTCGCCTTATTCTGTGGCCATCACCAGCCACGCAGGGCCCCAAGACACACACACCTTCAGCCACTTTTATGTCAAGAGTCTCTGAACCTCCAACTCCATCTTGTCCTTAAAGGAACAGAGTAAAATGACAGCAACTAGGGAAAGGCAAGGCAGTGCATAAGGGAGGTAGAGGACACTTTCCAAGTTTGTGTGAGGCCAGTGGGGCAATCTGCCACTTAGTGAACCTTCAGCAGTGTGCTAAGGGCTACGTGCACAGACCTAAATGCACACAGCAACCTGCCGTTATCATCACATTACTGGCTGGGGCATATGAAGACTATGTCTGTGAAAAGAGGAAACTATAACGCTGGAGTCCCACCAGCTCGGTCGGGGCAGGCCTCCTCTGGGCGGCGTGGACAGAACACTGCATCAGCACTCTATCGAGAAAGGGTCTCCTGAATTTTGCCTCAGCTAAAGTTCTGTAGAACCTCAGTCCCCTGGATCTCAGCCTCCTGAGTACCTAGGGTTACAGACACGGGCCACTAGTGCCAGGCCAGAGAGAATATTCCTTCTAGGCCAGTGACGGGTCCTAGGAATGAGTAACACTGCCTCCATCCTCAAACCACTGCCTAGTATCTGGACATTTCTACTGAAGGTCGTCTCCTCCTACCCAGCCCCGTCAGGCACCCAGGGAAGGGTCCAGTCCACCATGCCTGAGAGCGTGTGCAGGAGCAGCCCTCCAGCCACCGGCCCGGCCACCCCGCCCCGCCCCAGTACCTATGCTCCACATGTTAGGAGAGGGCCTGCTGCGCCAACTCCCGCCCCCCCACCCCAGACACCCCGGAGCCTGCTGGCCCAGGAGCTACAGATGGCTCTTCACAGGAGAACAGTAATACTGGCACTCACACCTGCTCCTCACCTCTGCTTTAGACTGTGGGAGACCCCCTCCCTCCCACCACCAGGCACACGGTCCGTGGGGAGACCCGGTCCCTCCCACCTGGGTGCAGGGTGGTCCCCGCAGGACGAGCAGGCCTGTGCAGAGGGCGGCCAACCTCCTTCACAAAAGCACCCTAAAGCGGCTTTCAACTTCTACTCTGGGGACACCCAGGAGACACAGGCCCGGAGTAACAGACCTGCCAGCAGAGGCCACTCCCAGCTCAGCGGGGAGCAGCTGCCACCCCTCTGAGGAGAAAAGGCGCCTGGGCGGTGCAGGCAGGGAGGGAGGGAGGCAGAGCTGTCAGGGCCCTCTGATAAGCACCTGAAGTTTTTAAAAGCATCATTTCTAGAGGCTCTATTTCTGGTAGCACTCTTATGCAACATACAGTTTAAATAAGATTTGCTTAGTCTACCTTAAACGTACAACATGCTTGAAATAATATATTCACATTTATACTTAACATGATGTTTTGTATTAATATATAACTGATATAATAATCTCTTCCCACGAAACGGAGGTGAGACAATGAGCAGCTGTTAGTTGTGAGATCCTTAGGGCGCTTTTTATTGGGAAGTCCTGGGATTGCAACTAGGGGCCCGGGCTCGGCCGCTTAGCCACGTCACCAGCTCTCCATCTGAGGACTTAGAAGGCTTCAGTGGGATCCAACTCCATGAAATGATTTCCAAGTTTTGTGTCATATGCCTATTTTTGGAGAGCAAGTTTCAGGTTCTGAAACTAACCTATAGCTCACAAATAAACATTAATATAAGAACTACACCTAATTTTTTGTTGCCAGTCCTGGGACTTGAACTCTGGGCCTGGGTGCTATTCCTGAGCAACTTTTTCTCAAAGCTAGTGCTAGTGGCCACAGAGCCACTTCTGGCTTTTTCTGTGGTTAATTGGAAATAAGAGTCTCATGGATTTTCCTGCCTGGGCTGGAGTCAACCTGATCCTCAGATCTCAGCCTCCTGAGTAGCTAAGATTACAAGCATGAACCACCAGTGCCCAGCACAAGAACTACAACTAATTTAAGAACTAAAACTACTAACAACCAGGAACAAGAACTGTAGACAGAAGCCAGTCCCTGGGCCAAGCTAACTGCAAGAAGTTATTTTGTTCTCAGCTCATTGTCTGCCTCCACATAAACCTGACTCCAAAACTTGACTAAGAAAGAGAAAGAAAAAAGATGTTTCTAGAAATGCAGCTTTTCCATGCCCTAGCATATAAATATTTACAGATTTCTTAAAATGCAGAGATCTCTGAGTCCAATAATTATAGGCCTTATGGACACACTGTGATTAGTGGGTTCTATCTCCATCATTGCCCACACACCAATTACAGAAGCTTACCAAGCTCCACTTTCCATTTGCTGCTCAGAAGCTTCAGACCTATACACTGACTAGTGCCCCACAGAGCCACACCCTTCCACGATGTCAAAGAAATAAAAACTGACCTTCATGAGATGCTGGTTTATCCATTTTGTGAAAGTTTTCTTTTGGACTTTGTCTCGCTCATCTGGAAAATGAAAATAAGATAGAAAATAAGGGTGGTCAGAGTTATGCATAAGAGACTCTTCACCTGTGCAGATGAATGAACACAGATGTGCAGAAGATAGCATTCAGCATGCCCAAATTTTCTTATAAATTTCAGCAACGCAGGCTATGTGTAAGAAGACAATAAGGGTTCTCTCTTCTGTGCTAAATCCCTCAGCACTACTCCATGAAGCAAGTACTTGTCCCCACCACCACAAGGTATTCGCCCTACTCTATAACTTCAGGGGAGCCCTGTGTGAACCTTCCAGAGCCCCTGAGCAGTCAGCTCCACAGCAGCAGGAGGGGCTGTACCAGCCTCAGTCAACAGAGACCAGGGCCTACCTTCTTTTGATCACTATGGCTGTGTGGTGGCAGCAGCTGCCACAGGCTCAGAAGTGCAGCTGAAAGCCATGCTGATGTGGGGAAGTTTCCAGCAGGAGTTTCTTGAACAGCTGCCACATGGACACTAGTGCAACAGCACACAGGGTCTCTAAGTCCTGAGGCTGCTTCGAACACTGACAACCGGCCTCAGAGACCAGGCCCAGTGCATAAGCAAGGGAGGCTCCCATCACCTGGCAACAGTGAGGAAAGAGCCAACGTGCACTTGAAGCTCCTGCTTAACGAGGAAAGAGCGAATGTGATCTTTAGGCTCACATTTAAAGCCTCAACTTTCCTCAAGAGCATAACTTAGGGTCGGGGAGGCATTTTCGCCTGGGATGACTGTGAGTTAGTCTGCACACTTACTGCTTCAAAAGGGAGTGTTCCCTATGACACCATCTAATTTTCTGATTGCAGGCCTCGGATTGATTCCTCCTGTCACTTCAGTCACGGATGGCTAACGCTGAAATTTATATTTGGGGCACTTGCCGTTATGACAACAGAAAGAAATCATCCCATCTAAGACTACCCATCTAAGCTTGGAGCAGAGTTCCACAACACTGCTCTACTTGAAATTATTTCATTTTCAATCAGCTTTAACTGAAAGCACAGGTTTATGTTTGCCTAATAAAGTTCAAAGTAGTTGGAAAAATATAACAGTGAGTGTAAATAGTAATAATAATAGAATTTAGCAGGAAAATGACAGGTTTAAAGAGCAATCGTTATTAAAACCTACATTGTTCCAGTAAAAGCCAATCAAAGCTAAGTGCACTTTGTTCCACACACCATCAATACTGAAGTTCTTCACACACACACACACACACACACACACACACACACACTCCACACCACTCACTACCATGGAAGGGAGAGATCTCCAAGTGGTCGGATTCCATCCCAATTCCTGACAGGTGCCCCGCCTTTGGCTCCCCTCCCCCTCGTAAGCCAACAGAGGTAATGCCAGCCTCTCCCCCAGCGGGGAGAGTGTAAGTGGCAGGGCACAGGCACCGGTGCTGCCCCTAACAAACAGGCTCAGGACAGACCGGCCCTGGTGCTGCCCCTAACAAACAGGCTCAGGACAGACTGGCAGAGCTACTGACCCATACAACACATCAGCTGCACCAGCTTGGCACTCCAGGCCTGGTCTTCTCTCAGAAGCTGCCCCATCATTCTCCGGGATCTGCAGTGGTGTCCTAACTCCCTCCCTACACACAGGGTGTGTCAGAGCCCTCTCTGTGTGCAGAGAGGAAAACTCTGACTAGACACTCCTACTTACAAGCTTAGAACTAGTCAACACCCCTTTCAAGCAAACACAGGCAAAAGCAGGTTGCTCTACTGTTCTGTCAACCGTAACTACAAAGAATCCAAACTGTCCTGTCCCTTTCCCCTCACACGCTATTGTATAAGAGGCCGCTTCAAAAAGCAGAGCTTTGCTTCTCTGTGCTGCTGTGCCATGAGGCAAGCGTGCGATGCTGGCTTTTACAGCTGAGCGGAGTCCCCCTGTCCTCGCGGAAGCCCAGGCAGATTGCTCTGTGGTAGAAAGGGACACCCAGCCCAGCCTGTTTAACTTAGCCCTGAGGTGCTTGTGACAGACTCGATGCACAAAGCTCCCCTTTGCAGGCCACACATCGCACTCAGGGGAACATCACTGCCAAGAGTTCCTTTATGTACACTTGAATCTTACAAAAACCTAAGATTCTAACATCTATTTTTAATCTAAAGATCTATCTCTAAGCTGGGTAATAATGTGAAATTTAGAGTCTGGAGGAATTAAGAAACTCAAGACCCCAACACCTGGGTGGGTAGGCAGACAAGTGGGTGGCAGGCACGCCCAAGTCTACAGCTAAGTGAGATCTTCAGTCTGATTCTAAAGTCTCTTCCTTATTGGTTAAAGAGAACCCCCTAATCTAAAAACAAGGAGGCTTCAATTTGCAAGAACTTCACTCCTGAACACGAATAAATGATCCAGGCGGTATCAAGAAACAAGAACCCTTGCTCTGAACACGCACAGAGCGGTACCAGTTTCTTGTCGTCCTCCAACACGCACATCAGCCCTTCCTGTACAGAAAATGTGCCAACAGTCCTGAGAACCAATAAAAACAGCCACTGCTTATCTTCAGCAATAAGAAGCTGTATTATGTGATCACACCAAGAGAAGATCCACAGCTAGATTAACTGTCACCAGCACACTCTGAAGAAGCATGCGGGTGCTGCCTCCCCTTGCAGCCGTCGGCCCGGCTGCGCTCACCGCTCCACGCACCTGTCCAGGCACGCCACATCACTTTTCTCATCATCTTATTCCTTCTAGAGCCCGCCTCCACCAGAGAAAGGCTCAGGAATACAGTAACGACACACACTTTCGAGTACATTTAGTATCTGCAGTTGTTCTGTTACACACATAACTCACACACACCTTGCAGATTACAGTCCTAAAGACCCTCATCTACTCATGAAGAAACAGAGGTTTCATGCCTGCCTGGGGGTCACCATCAGAGTGGGGATGGAGCTTGCAAAAAGCAGACACAGAGTTTGAATTTCATGCTTGGGAAGCAAAGTTCTGACAGTTTTTATTTATTTATTTTTTGTTTAAATAAAGAAGAAACTTTATCGAGAAGGTTCCTACACTGACCAGCCAGGGCCACAGCACAGGCTCGGGAGCTGATACTGCGACTTCTGACAGTTTTTAAAGGAATAACTAATTCATAAAATACAGCCATGGGGGGGGGGGGCAGGGGAGGAAGAGATGGAACTACTGGAACACATTAGTGACTGTGTGGAGGAGAGGCAGGAAATCCACGGAACTGGAAGGAGATCTGTATGAGTGAGGACTGGGCATGGTTTTAATTCTGGCAGTGTTAGGGCTCAAATCTGGGGTCTCACATATACCAAACCAGCGTTCTAGAACCTTGAGCCCGAATTCAGTTTTATCATCAGAATATTTATCAACATATACAAATCACTCATGAGTAATGCACATATGAGCATTGTGTCATACACACAATTTTTGGGTTTTGTAGGGGAAATATTAAAGAATCCGTTCTAACTTCTTTGACGTATTTAATAGTTGTTTCCCATCTACCTGCGATAGGGGACATGGCAATCCTTCCCTTCACTGCAACCCCGCCCACAGGACTGTGACAGGAGGGGCAGCCAGGTGGGCTGAGCGGGAGTGGAGGGGTGGGGAGCCCACACTGTTCTAACTGAAACTTCTTCCCAAATGTTCCCACTGCGGCGGTACTGTTGTACTTTCCCACTGCAGCGGCCCCTTCCTCCAGGGGTCTGACTCACCAGGGTGGGGCTGCAGACTGGGAGGCTGCTTCAGCCTCTGCACTTCAGTCACAGCCTGCTCTCCGCCTACACAGCCCACCTCAACTCACCATTTACTTAGAGCCAGGTCTGTGCAGGCTAAGCACTCAAGCCACCACTGACTACGCCCATAGCATCCCCCACCTAACTGTGCTACAAAAAAGATTCTCACCAGAAAAATTCTACTAGTTATGTCATCAAACTGTATATCATAAAAGGTTTGCAAAATTCAGGACACAGGGCTGGAATGGCAACAATGTGCTTACTAAATTCTTAGCTAAATTATTGCAAAGTCTTGCAAAGTCCTATATACATGAAGCCTACAGCTGATCTCACAATGGTGCTGTCTGCTGTAACTGCTTCCTGCATCTGCAGACCCCACTACTACAGCCGGCACAAATGTATGGAATGAATACTGGGTAAACCACTTAGAAGACACAGATAAAGAAGGATTAAGGTCAGAGCAGAGGGTCCCCATCTGGGTGGACTTGCTCCTGAACAGATGGCTGTGGTCATGTCAAGAATGCATGCATGAATGAATGAATGAATGAATGAGCAGCATGCACAGATCAGGAACTAGGAATTCAGGTAGGAATTTGCCTGCTTGACATTCAATTACCACAAAACTAAATGCGGTGTGTATTCACTGGCATCTGTCACAAATCCAGAGATAGGACAAGGGCAGAGAATGTGCTAGGTAAGCTGAGATGTACAACAATGGACGGTGCAAATCTCCCCACAAACGCCTTTGTGTATGCCCTCCATACCATCACTGGCCACATCCCCTGCCTTCCGGTCTGCACGGCTGTCTGGCTGAACACTAGCAGAACCGGTGGCTGGGAACAGAGGAAAAGGAAGTCACATTGTTCCCAAGACTGGTCAAGAATTCAACCTAAAACTCCTGCAGTCTACCCTTTAGTCTACTTTCTCTTACCTGAGCACAGAGAAGACAGAACACAGAGAGAATTCTAATCACCACAACACAGTTTCCACACCTCAGTGCATGCCATCATCCCTGCCTTCCCTGTCCCCGTGGCCAAGATCCCTGCAAAAAGTACAGTTTTGTTCTTAAAACTTTATGAGAGTGGCCTTTCTTTCCAGATCAGAGGCCTGGTGAAAAATATATCCCAAAGTACACAGATAGTATACACATGGATTAGAACAAATTAACATTTGCAGACCAAAGGCATATAAAATAATCTGCTATATTTAGGAATATCTTGGGTAATATAGGCTTTCTAAAGTCTTTAATTGTGAAAACTACCATTCTAACCAATATGCATATGGAAAATGAAACAG